ACAAGTGGCCATACTGACGGGAGGGGTTTGGGACCTTGTCCTCCAGAAAAGATCCTTTTTTCCAAGGCCAGGATCATTGCATCTTCTTCTGATCTTTGCTTGAGAGCCCACAGAGCCCTTCTGCCAGGGACAACCAGCAGGATAGCCCAGTGGCCAAGCTCATTATTGAGCAGCTGTATACGTCCAGATGTCCAGTTCCTAACCCTATATGTTCATCTATCGTGCTTACAGGTAGGATGTGGGTTTTTAAAACATCATTAATGGAAGTGACACGCCTCTCAGGACAAAGCACCGTCGGAATGACTGAATGGACACAGGTTTCTCTTTTTCCCTCTCTCTCTCTCTCTCATTGAGGTTAACGAGGAACTGGGGAAACCTCGCGGACTGGTGAGGAGGGGGCGAGACGTGCTAAATATAAGGCGGTAGAGCCTCTGCCCTCCAAATGGGCCCAGCGCCCGGCTGTCGGTTCATAATTAGCCATGTGTTCGTCTTGAAGCCGGGGCCCTTTACGTGCCTAACACATTGCTAATTACATTAACTTAGCATGCAAAAGGCACATTGGGGAAGCAGGGAAGAGTGGGATGGTAAACCAATTAAGGGTCCCACTGTAATGTTTAGGAAAGCAACTCTCTGATGAATACACAGAGTGCGCGGCCTCTTTTATAGTAACACAAACATACACGCACATACATAGGCCATGGCGGCAATGAAACGAGCCTAGAGGTGGTGGGATCTTATTGGGTTACCTTTGGCAAGCTGGCTGGATTGCTCAGAGGCTGGGAGTCTGATTCCCCCCCATTGGGACTCGGGGGGGGGGGACACCCAGCCTGGTTGGCCTTAGGAAATCTGAAAAGTCTCAGGAGTGCCCCATAGAAGAAGTGAAGGTTAAACCCCTTCTGAGGATTCCCTACCTGGAAAGGATCGCCTTGAGTCATTATGGACTCACCAGGACAAAAATAATTATTTACTGTTGGCAAAATGAAATGAGAGGCAGGAACACCAAAACATGGGGTGACGTATTTATATATATAGTTTATGTTCACATCCCACTTTCTCTCAAACCCTATTAAATAATATCCACATCAAATAATTGCTGTTTATTTTGTTGTGAACCATCCAGAGTGACCTTAGTAGCTAGATGGGTGGTATGCATATCAAATCGAATGAATGAATGAATGAATGAATGAATGAATGAATGAATGAATGAATGAATGAATGAATGAATGAATGAATGAATGAATGAATGAATGAGGCAATATCTACAGCTTTTCTCTTTCTACAACTCTGTAAGGAAGGCCAAGCCAACAGAAAGAGAGAAAGAACAACTCTAGCACAGGATCATCCTGGGGATTTCACATCTAAGTGGGGAATTTGAACCCAGATCTCTGAAGTCTGACCTCAGCACCCTCCCCATTAACTACACCGTGGCTGGCTCCTGATCTCCCCACCACTGGCTCAGCTCTCACTAGAGTGGGACGCCTCTGTGCGGACTGGAGTGCTATTGATCAGAGATGAGGATTCAGGTGATAGATTTTTTTCTATAGACTTAAAAACTCCTGCACATAGAACTCTAGCACGAAAGGAAGAGGGCCCCTTGTCTGTGATGAGTGACATTTTCTAGGAACAGGGTTTAAAAAAAATACTAGAGAGGCATTAAATAGTGCAAACTCCTGGCGTCTTATGGTGCAAAAAATACGGTACTAGAGAGGCATTACATAGTGCAAACTCCCGCCCCCCCCATCATCTGAAGTGCTAGAAGGCAGACTCAGATTAACGCTTTTAGGGCACGACGACACCCTAGTGTGTATGTGGGTAAAACGCATGCAGTGAGGGGCTTTATGACCTCTGCCCCCAGCTATTTGTACAGCACCAAAAATGGACTTGGCCCTTTACATAAAACTAGAGAAATATTTCACTTCCTACAACATACCTACATCCCATGCTAACTTTAGCTTTCAAAGGTTTCAAATGGTTTTAAAGTATTTAATTGCTTTATATTCTTTTTATTGTCATGGGAGCATAGGACAGAGGGCCGAATCTAAAAACCCTACACAAATAAATGAGTAAAGGGCCTTTCTGTGGTTACTTGTTATGCTTTATACCCTCATGCTTTATAGAGCAGCAGAGGAAGAAAAATCATACTGTCTCAAAAAGCACCCAATCTAAATATAGGAATTAATTTTGCAAGTCACATGCTGTTTCCATGCAGTCCGATTCAAAAAAAGAACATCTGTTCAGAAGGCATCTCCACAGAGTTTAGAGGTGGGTGCACAGAAAGGACTTCTTACCTATACATCTTGTGTTAAGATCCTCCCAGGAGGCCTTTCTCTTGGTGCCATTAGAGGTGGGTGCACAGAAAGGACTTCTTCTTACCTATACATCTTGTGTTCAGATCCTCTCAGGAGGCCTTTCTCTCGGTGCCAACCATCTTCACAGCTGCGTTTGGTGGGGACACAGGAGAGGGTCTTCTCTGTCGCTGCTTGCAGACTTTGGAACTCCCTCCCACTGGAGGCCAGGCTGCCCTTCCACAAACAGGCAAAGACCTTCCTCTTCAGGCAGGCTTTCCCTGAATGACTGGCTACCTGGGTGGAGAATTTTAAAAGACAGTTGTGCCTTGTGGCTTTGAATCTGTTCTTGGTGTTGACTCTGTTTACCATTTTTTAGTGCAGTATTTGTTTGAATCTTTTTAAAATATTGGTCTACTTACTTTTTTAAGCTTTTAAATGTTGTCTTTTAATGATGTAAGTCACCTTGGGTCATTTTTAAAGAGAAAGGAGGGGTAAAAAATACTTTAAACAAACAATAAATAAATTTGTGTCTGATTTGACAACCTAGATTTCTACGGGAATAAATTCAGAAAAAGCTCAGCAGGGTTGAATTCTGTTTAAATACGTTGAGGATCCATTTTGGATAAACTGGGTCTGAAGCCAGGAAATTAAAACTATCCCACATTGGCACGCTTCCTCCCTTCTTTTGCTGTTTTAGACCTGTTTTCTCTTAATTTCTCCATGTTCAGTGATCGGCTACCACCCAGTGGCAGAAACAAAACACTACATAATATTTGGAAACTGCCAGTTCTTTTATTCCCTCAATAAACTGGAATCTGGAACTTTCCTCCTTGTGGACTTCCTGGAATTGTCCATGAATTTCAGAAAACAGGATGCGAAGCGAGGCGGTCCTTCCTTCTGATCCACACAGAGTCTTCAAACATCTGTCTTTGGGGCACCGGGAGGAACACCAAGTTTGGAAATGGATCCAGGGAAGAAGCCAAGGGCACAGAATACCCACCAAAAACTAGACAACAACTCCCCAAGTCTATCAGGCTGTTCCAGCTTCTGGAGAAGCCAAGGGCACAGAATACCCACCAAAAACTAGACAGTCTATCAGGCTGTTCCAGCTTCTGGGAGAATAATAATAATAATATATCTTAAATTTGCAAGGCTGTAGCCATTTTTATTTTTAGACACACGTGGAAAACCTACCTGGTTTTGCAAGCCTCTGCTGTAAGCAAATATTTTCACAGCCCTTATAAATGCATTTTAATTCTCCGGCACAGAATACCCACCAAAAACTAGACAGTCTATCAGGCTGTTCCAGCTTCTGGGAGAATAATAATAATAATATATCTTAAATTTGCAAGGCTGTAGCCATTTTTATTTTTAGACACACGTGGAAAACCTACCTGGTTTTGCAAGCCTCTGCTGTAAGCAAATATTTTCACAGCCCTTATAAATGCATTTTAATTCTCCATATGGAGCACCCTGAATTTTTTTCTTACTATTATGAACCACTTTGAAATCTTTACATCTGAGTGAATCATGAGTGTTTGCAAATAAATTGGCAAACCACATTTGTGGAAGATCACAACTGTCATCATGATGATGATGATAATGATGATCATCCTCCTTATCACCATCTCCAGTATCCCTGACACTCTTGTAGAGTACCAAAGGTCCAAGCAAGCATCCGCTTGGATCAGTCACAAACGCAATACTGGGAGAGAGAGGAGAAAGAAAGGAGGAAGATAAGAGCTGTGGATCAATAAATAAGGATGGGGGGGGGAGAAAAGTATAATATGCCTGCCATTAGGGGTCAATTAAGTGTAGCCTGTTCAAGAGTTGTGGCTTTTAAAGGGTAGCATAATAGTGTATGGTAAACTGTGGATTCAGGAACTTGAAAGCCTCGTTATCACCTCACTCGCTTGCCAAAGCCATGGTAGGGTGTGATGACCTGGAAAACCCAAAGGAGGAAAGCGTAGGGTAGTAGAATAGTGTATGGTAAACTGTGGATTCAGGAACTTGAAAGCCTCGTTATCACCTCACTCGCTTGCCAAAGCCATGGTAGGGTGTGATGACCTGGAAAACCCAAAGGAGGAAAGCGTAAGGTAGTAGATGACCAAAGATGAGGTCATCATCATCCTCAATATAGGACATGAGACTCTTTAATGTTTATTCGGAGGTTCCCTTTGATTTACACCTCAGGCTCTGACTGCCTGGAGGCCCAAGTTTGGAGACCACTGCTCAATAGGACATGAGACCCTTTAATGTTTATTGGGAGGTTCCCTTCGATTTACACCTCAGGCTCTGACTGACTCGGACCTCCGCTGTCAATCAACGTGATTGATAGTCCTGAAGAATTCCCGCGCCAAGGGCCATCGCCCCGCCCCCACCAAGCCTGAAAAGGAGCTAGATTTGCATCGCCACGCCCACTGATTTGCATCGACCCGGCTCGCTGGGGAACGAAAAGGGCAGCGCCTTTTCCCTTTACGCATGCGCGCTCCCGCTCCGCCGGCGCTCTCTCTGAGGGAGCTCGCCCAAGAGGAAGCAACGCAGCGAGCGAGAGGAGAGGCGCGGAGCGGCGTGGCCGGGTGGCGCATGCGCTGTGGCCTCCCCTCCGTCGTCCGTAGGAAAACCCGCCTTGAGCGTGTGCGCGTGCGCGAGTAGCGGTCCGAGCCTCCTTCGCGATCCCCCCTTCCTTTATAAGGGAAGGAAGTGGGAAGGGGGGCTTTCCTTTCGTTTCCTGTTTGTCGGGTTGTGCTTCCGGGGCGAGGCGGTAGCTATGCGGACGGGGGTCGTTTGGGCCGGTTGAGCGCAAGGGAAGAAAGGGCGGAGGGGACGGGAGGCCCCCTCGCCCCCCCCAAGCAGGTGAGCGGGGGGGTGGCGTTATTATGGGATGGCAGCCGTAGGGAGGGCTTCCAGTGTAGAAGGGAGAACGGGGAGGGAGGGAGGCACCCAAGCATAAGAAGGGAGACCCCCCCCTCCCTTTTCCTCAGGTTTCATTTCTCTTCCTTTTCAACTCCTGGTTCAAAAAACACAGTATTTACTTATATTGCAATACTCATTTCAACAATAGTCGAGTCAGGGCCATCCTGAACAACGTCCTTCTCTGTATATAGCATTGTTGTTGTTGTTTAAAGGCTGTTAAGTATTTTATTTATTCATTCATTTATTTAAAATACTTTTTACCCTGCTTTTCTCCTTAAAAAGGTCCCGAGGCACCTTAGGTTCGTGGAAAGACAATATGTGAAGCTAAAAGGAAGGAGTGTTAAAAGGCGGCGTACAAGGGTTTAGGGATTTGTGGTATTTGGACTACGACTCCCAGAATTCCCCACGGCTCCTCTTCTCTGGTCAGCTGTCAACTCTCCTGGCTGCCTGTCATTAGGATGCCCTGAACCTTAGTGACCATGACTGATCCTCTTTAATTGCAATGCAAGTAACTCTGTGTTTGCGAATTTCAGTGCCGTTGTGATGCTTCGGAGGTAATGGTTGGAACTGGGAGGAACTGGGACACCCACCGACCCTCCTCCTGTCTAGGGTCCTTTTGTGGGGTTGCAGTTCATATCAAACCTTGACAGGGGAATTGCAGCCCAGCCACACCTGGATGGCCACCCAGCCCTGTTGGACGTGGTATTTTGCAAAGAAGGAGATTACTCTTCCCTATCCCGAGAGAGCTGCGGTCTTAAAACAGGAGACCGCAGAGAGGGAGAGGGGGGAAGGGGGACAGGAACAGGCTGGGTGGCTGTTCTGGTTAGTCATCCTGCGCTCTGGCACATATCAGGGGACGGAAAGACAAAGCCACCCCAGGGAGAGGGTATCTCTTGAGGCTGCCCTTATTTGATTAGGCTGGATTTAAGCATGCTGGAGGTCTTTAGGGTTCAAGCGTCTCGGGTTGTTGTGACCCTTGGCTTATCTCTCATGACCAAGGAGGTCTCCTGGGGATAAAAAGATAGTTGAGGCTTTGCAAGTGGAATGTAACGTGAAGAATGACAGGTATTGGTGCTGAGATGGGGCTCTGCCGATGCCGCTGAGCGAGCGGCAGCTCCTATAATCTCTTTTCATTGGCTGGGTCTGACGGGGTGTTGCGGTCCAGGATCTTCTGGAGAGAGGCCCTTTCTGCGCCCAGACATCCTCCAGAGTTGTTGTGCGTTCTCTGTAGAGGAAGGAAGGGGTTGTTGAAACGAGTCTTGCAATCGTTCATGGGATGTGGCAAATGAGGCCTCTGCCCTGGAAAACAGACCATTTCTGCTTTTCCATTGAAGGAGAATCTGGTTTCTCAAATCTGGTGTTTAGAAGTGTGTGTGTGTGTGTGTGTCTGCTTTCAAAAGCAGCTGGCAGTCAAATAGGTTAAACATGATGGTCCTATTACTTCACTGGCATAGCATAACGCTGGGAGGCCAGCCAGCATCTGTCTGACATCTCATGGATGGTAGTCCTGAGTCTATGGACAGCTTCATCCTATCCATGTTTACTTAGAAGTCGAACCAAATTCATTTGGATTGAGCTTCCAGATTAACTCTGCCAAGAGTTATGCCTGAGTTCCTTGAGCGTGCCGGAGAGGGACATACAGTAGTATGCAGTTCCTACCCTGTAAGCACAAGAAAGGAGGTTCTTTGGATTTTATTGGAAATGATGGACGTTAATGGAGACTGGTGGAGAAATAAAAGTGTAACTAGAATTTCATGATTAGAAAATCGTCTTGATGTAGCAGTGGTCCTGAACACATAGTGCATTTTGCCCTTGAGTTAATTGCCTGCCAGAGTAATCTTGAATTACTGAAAAGAATGTAAGTTGGTTTCTCCTTAAGGAAGTTGAGTTTCAGAACGGCTTTTGAAACTGTAGTGCAATGAGCATCTTGTGACGTCTTGTGCAATCTTTCAGGGTGCCCTCTGGATTTCCTCAGTGGTCCGGTATCTTGACTTGCCCACCTCAGAGCGTGATGAGCTCTGCAAAACAACCCACACCATTTCCTTCGGTGAATAGCAGGCCAGGGACTGGTGCCTCAGAATCCTGGGACACTTTGAGGATAAGATTAAGTCTTTTTGTGATGTCTTTGTGCAGGAATTAAAATGAGAATCTTTCATCACCTTTTCCCGCATCACGACTTGATCTGTCATCTTTCTGTCATTGTTTTGTTCCATGTTCCTGCAAGGTCTTAAAAGACTGCTTTGTTAAACAAGATGATGAGCTAGCTGTACAGAGCATATTGAGATAATGACGCTTGAGGCTAAGTTTAAAAAGCACAGACACAAAAACGTTGTCTGTCATACCTGTGATGTGGTGGGTGGAGTGGAAAGATTGTGAAATCTTCCGTTTATCTTTCTAATCTTTTAACTTTTAACAGTTCTTCTAATGGAGGACCCGCCCTTTGTGGCTTACACAGACAAGCAGTTAACATTCACAGGGGCTGGAAGGCAGGAGATATGGTGTAAGCAGTGTCCTTGTCCATTGGTTTGGAATTTTACCTGATCCAATCCAAAATTATAGTCTGTAATCCACACACACACACCAGCCCCATGTCAGCCTTTCTCTGCCGCTTGGATTCCATACCCGTAATGCACTCTGCGCCCCTTCCAATAGCCTGTCAATCTCTCCTCCATTGTCCTCACCTACTCCAGAGCAAGAATACCTATCTGGTTAGGCTGTGTTTCCCTTTCCTTGGCTTTTCCAGCTGTAGATATATGTACAGTACCCTCGGTGTGGAGTTCCCTGTGCGAAGTGAAACAAATCCCAAATAGATACACAAAGCTGTTCAGAGAGTTTGAAGTAGAAAGCAAATCATGAAGCTGCCTTTGAATGACTTTAGCCAGACAATACTACTGCTCCATTCCCACGAGTACATGCTCTTTCCTGTGGCTCATGTCACGTTACTCATATGCCTAACGCTGAGTTTCTTAGGAAGATATGTCAGCTCCTAAGTACTGCTGAGCAAATACTTCTAAAGAAAATGCTTTTACAGTTCTTAGCGTCTAACGCCGGAAAGGAGGCATTCTGGATTGCGTGGAGGCTGCGGCGGCCTTTGAGGCGAAGCTGAGGATGGAAGGGGTTGAGCTGAAAGAGGAATGGCAAGATGAAGATTTTCCAAGGTAAGGAGGAGTCACGCAAAGAAGGTCCTGTTTTTTGTGTGTGTTTTTTTAAACCAGCCCTTGTGTCTTAGGTCTAACAGCCTGTGCCTCCCCCACAGGTTAGGATTTTTAAGACAGGACTCGTTCAGGGACTCGTCACTGAGCTGTCTCCACAGTGGAGCAGAATACATTGGTTAAAAAATATTGGTTTGGGTCAAACTTGCACAGAGCTATGTTCTTGCTGTCATGTAAGAAGCTTCAGGGTACTAATCAAGATGTGATGGTCCAGCAGGGAAAGCAGACGTGAAGGCTTACATCCAGTTGCATAGTTATTAAAAAAGCCCATAACTTGTAGCAAATTGCTGCAAATTAAGGAATCTCTCTAGACGTTATCTGTTGCACAGTAAGTTATGTGGCTCAGTCTGCAACAAAGACTGTCTGCAGAGACTTCTTCACTTAATAGTAATTTGCTGCTGAAAGTTCCTCCTTTTGAGTCCCTTCACAATAGACATTTGGCCCTAATGTCCCCCCTGCCTCCCACCGGAATAAGCCTTCACATCTTTTTACCCTGCTTACTGTGACCTTGACACACTGTGACCTTGACACTTCTTCTCTGCCCAGGCCTCTACCAGAGGATGATCACCTTGAAGATTTGCCAGATTCAGCTGGAAGGGAGGACCAACCTGGCAAGTATACCTGGGGGGTCTGACATCTTTGATAATTATTACAGAAGGGAGCTAAGCCTTTGGTTGTTGCTGCCTTTCCTGAGATATGATGACAAAACAGTAAGAAATGGTGTTGGAACAGTTGGATGACTCTAAATATTCCACTTTCGCATTTGTTTTGTTTGGCTGCCATAGAGTCATGGAATGATGGAGCGGGAAGGGGCCTCTAAGGGGTCATGGAGTCCAACCCCCTGCTCAAGGCAGGAATCTTGTTCAAAGCTGATCTGACAGGGGGTTTTCTCTTGAAGGCCTCCAGTGTGCCCATTAGCCAGTTTCAGTGCTGGATGGGTCTAACTGGAGATGGAACTAGGAAATTAATCACTGGCGTATACAAAAGTCGTTGTTCACCTGGTTAGGCCTTTGAGAGAGATTGCTTCAGCTATGTTTATCTGTTTATGTTCTTTATGCCTAGGAACATTAAGTCTGCTTAAATAGAGCAGGTGATAATTGGGCTTCCTGACTTCTAAACCCGAGGTCCCAAACCCCTGGTCCGCGGTCCGTAGCCTGAGCCAGACCGGGCCACGGAGAGAGACCTGCCCCCCCACGCACGCACTCACCCCCACACAGCTGATTTTGTGCATACCCACGCAGCGCATGTGCACCACGTGCGAGCACTGCAACGCCGTTTGCGCATGAGTACGGGGGGTGCCCCGCTTTCCTCAGCCAGTCTGCAGGGTGTAAAAGGTTGTGCACTCCTGTTCTAAATGACTCCTATTTGTCTAACAGTTAAAAATGACTATATGTAATGGACTCTGCAGAATTATATACAGTGCAGTTGATACATACATATATTTTTTAAGGACTGAAAAGAGAAGTGAGACTGTATGATAATGCTTATTTTTTCACAAGAACATTTAAAGTTTTACTGTACTTCTTTTTCTTCCCCTAAGGCTTTTGTTTGGCAACATTTGTGTTCCCTTCATGTAAGCATAAAGTGAAAGATGCTCTTATGAGTCAGTTCCCTTCAGAGACAGCTGCTGGGTTTGAAGGCATGTGGCTGCCCTTTCTGCAAAACCTCTCATTTCCCCCCCTTCCATTTTCTGAATTTTTCAGAAGTGAATGGCAACAAAGTGAAGAAGAAACTGCCGGCCCCAAATATCAATTTAACACTGGATCAAAGTGAAGAATCTGTTTTGTCTGATTTAGAGGACAGCAAGGATATCGATCTGGATGATATCGACACCCCCTCTGAGAATAGCAATGAGTTTGAATGGGAAGGTAAGGATGCTTTTGGTTTAAGCCTCGTGCCTGTTTATCTTCTCTGCTGTTTTCCCAGTGTCGTTGGAACTGTTTCTCCCTGCAGTCCCAGGCTGTTGTTTTATTTTGGGAGCCATGCCAAGACGGCTGGCATTCATAGCCCGACGGGAATACTGGGCGGTTTCATCTTCCGTCTACTCCGAGGTGTTTTCAGGGGAAATAAAATTCTTCCAAATAACATCAGTTGCAGCTGACATGGACCAATATCAAGCTTATATGATTGCTTAAAAAAAAAAGCACACACACACACAAACAATTTAGCTTCCTCAAAGACCAGAAAACAAAATGCAAGCTACCTTCCCATGCAGATACGTTGCCAATCAGTATTGGGATCTTAATCTTGTATTTGTCTCTCTTTAGAGCACTGGTTCTTAACCTTTGTTACTCGGATGTTTTTGGACTGCAACTCCCAGAAGCCTTCACCATCAGCTCTGCTGGGAGTTGCAGTTCAAAAGCATCCGAGTAGCAAAGGTTAAGGACCACTGCTTTAGAGGGCCTCAGTGGTGGTGGTGATGGCGACTACATTTCACAGAGGGGATGTTTTTGGACTGCAACTCCCAGAAGCCTTCACCATCAGCTCTGCTGGCTGGGGTTTCTGGGAGTTGCAGTTCAAAAACATCTGAGTAACAAAGGTTAAGAACCACTGCTTTAGAGGGCCTCGGTGGTGGTGGTGGTGGCGGCTACATTTCACAGAGGGTTTTGTTGTGAAATAGAACAACACCCTCAACGCTGAATACCTCTTGGAAGAGACTCTGCATTCTGAACATACTGAATAAGCAGTCTCATGATGTAGCCTTTGTCTGGCCACTGTGCTCCTGTAATCCCCACCCCCCCAGCCACAGAGATCTATTGGGGAGCCTTGTTCTGGATGCTCCAGTGTCTGGCCAGTGAGATGTCTCGTGTTTTAGCTGTGCTTTTTACACTGACATCTCAGGGACAAAAGCATCCTTTTATGCATGGGCAAAGCTTGGTGATCCTGGGTTTGTAGGTGTAATAGGTACAGTTAGCCACTCTGTTGACCTGGGTTAAGTCAGAGGTATTCCTACAGAGACCGTGGATCTCATGGTGTGATGTTTAGGATGGGTGAGCAACAGGCATGTGGCAATTAATGTAGGATGCATGTATTTCTCTTTTTAAAAAACTGATGTAGGGAACAGCTGTCTTCAAGGCAGGCATCTAGATTTATTTTAAAAAATGAATAGAATTGCTGCAGAAATGGAGCAGAAGTTATTTTGTCCAGCATGTCTTCCCTCCCCNCCCCCAATGGTACAAAACCGACTCAGACGTCAGCTCTTGAATCCGCTTTGGACCACTGGATCTTGGTGGCAAAGGTTAAGGAATAGGTCTCTTCAGTTTCAGTTGAATGCCTTGTTTTGAGCATCTGTGTGAACATTGGGGCATGCGGTGCTTGTCCACCATGGGGACATGTTGTTCATGAGCGCAAGCTTTTTTCATGCAGTTAGAAACTGCCTGAGAAATAGGCCGTTCCCAAGTAATTAGACGGACTGTACTTTGGGCAAGCGGGAGCCTGGAGTTGTACATCATTGGAATAAGGTTTCTGTCTCTTCTCTTCTCTTTAATGCGGCTGTCTGCGTTTTCCTGGGAGGATAGTTTCCATTAACAGCTTCTGTCTTGGAAACAAACTACTAACACGCTGCAGTAGTTTTTCCACACCTCTGTGGTAAGGTTTGTGTTACTGAAACTATTTTTATCAAAGCCATGGAAATGATGTATTCTTCGGGGTGTTTCCAAGATTCTGCTTAGTTCTGATTGAGATTCTTTCCTGCATGACCGCCTTTAATCAGAGCAGGGTTCTGATTCACTACCAAATTTCTAATCCATGGGAAAATGATGCTAGAAGGTAAGAGATCCAAGGCCGGCAACTGATCAAAGGGTTTTCAGCAGTATCTTAATCCATAAATTGTTCTGGGATCCAAATACATTAAGGGAACCAAAGCCGTTACATTTTAATGCATTGCCTGAGTCCGGTTGTTTCTAGCTCACATGCTGAAAACTCCTTTGCAGGAGCAGTTCTGCTTTGCAGCTTCCTAGTTCTGTTTTGCAAAAATGAAATCTGGTCTGATCAGAGCAGTTCTAAAAACCAACCATCATCATCATCATCTGTAACAAAGTCAAGGTTTTGAAAAGGAATGGCAGTTTTTAAGCATCTGAGTTTAGAAGCAATCTGCACCACCACCAACTTGATCTCGTATTCAAAATGTAACACCAGTGGTTCCTAGATGTGGATTTAGGCGCTTCGGTTTCATGGCACACAGGTTGGAAAGCCTGCCTGGTTGTCAAACTGGTGACTCCCCCCCTACGGTATCTTGACGATAGTAATTGTTATTATTGTTATTATTAAAAAACATGGACAGATGACCTTCCCAAGCCCAAAACTACTGATGTAATTAGAAAAGGATCCTTTTCTGAATATGCGGCGTCAGATGAGAAGGAGGAGGAGCGGCGATGGAGGATGTTCCGGGTTGGAGATCAAGACCACCGGGTAGACATGAAGGCCATTGAGCCCTATAAGAAAGTCATCAGTCATGGAGGTACGGAGGCACCAAGGTGGGGCTGTTCGCTGCCCGAACAAATGGCAGGGTGCCTTTTCCAGGAAGTGTGAAACAAGTAT